AGTGTGTGTGTGTGTGTGTGTGTGTGTGTGTGTGTGTGTGTGTGTGTGTGTGTGCACTTGAATGGGTGAAATGTTGAGCACAATTTCTGAGTATGGGACACTGTACTTGGCTACACGTCACGTCAGTCACTTGTATCCTCCATTTAATAGCATGCGTGAACACAGGCACTCAACTTTTGAATTTTGAATTTGTGAACGAATGAGATTTTAGAGCTACAACTTGAGTTGTAGTTTTTTATTGATTAGTGACTTCAGTTTGGGTCTGTGGCTCATATCAGAAAGCTTGGAATATAATGCACAAGTTGCATGGACTTAAGGCTGTGATTTAAATAAAATGTGCATAATAAAATAAAAGACACGCTGCATGTTTCACAGTGCTTTCAGCGTCTTGGTTCACAGTAAATGCTGCTCCACACAAACTTCATCTCTGCATCTGGTCTGAGTTTGAGGCACTTTAACATGCATTTGTTGACGCAAATTGAGCCAAACGTCCTGCCAGGCTTGTAATGAGAAGTGCTTATAAACCAGCTATTGTCAACAAAAGAGAAGCTTGAAGAGCTCCATGCAGTTTTCCTCCAAAAGCTTGATGGTTTTACTAAACAAAAATTAAACACCATATTAATGAAATTAAGACAGCCATAAATATTAGTTTTGTAATTTTACATGTATATTGCGTAAATATAAAATGTATATTATTATCATTTTATTATGTTACTTAAACTTCCTTTTTTTGTTGAAAATATTGTGAAATATTACAATAGTAATAAATATTGTTATTTTTTAAACTTAGTAATAATAAAATAATAGTAATAATTCATATTATGATTTCATTATTACTAATTAAAAGTATTTAAACCAAATACATTGTTATATATTATTATATAGTTAATTATAATTCAGAAATAATAATAATAATAGTAATAATAATAATAAGTGATGTAAAAGTCATATTTGTATATTATCACATCAATTTTGGCCAAACTGTGTAGCCCTACAAACAAGATCAGCAAACCTGTAGCTTTTGTTGTTGCTGTTGTTGTTTGCATTTTTTATTTTTTTTTGCATTTTAAATGGCAACCACAATTTTTATCAGAAAAATCTAAATTATATATATATATATATATATTTTTTTTTTTTTTTTTTTCC